CAACAATGACGTCAGACATAAAACCAGCCCCTTGATCCCGCCTACACAAATCTCCTGTACAGCAATATTTCTGGTGTCATGAGAGTGATGCATAATATTGGAGGGGAATATGGGTCAACGTCACAACATTTACGGGAGTCTGCTCAACACAGCACGCTCTCTTTTTCAGCACCCCAGTGATGCCCCTCCTAAAAAAACCCTCCTAATATCCACCCCAGAAATATGCTGAGGTGTATTAGTTCAGCGAAGACTGTAGACTTGAGTCAAAGCCACACAAATTAACACCTACAAGCTTTATCGGAACCTCTCTTCCACAACGTCATGAACACTTCAGTGGTCGTGTGGCAGAGCGATTTGTAAACTCTCAAATTATCTTGTCATCTTCTTCTCTCTTTACCTCTACTTTCTCTTAAGGCTCTGAGAACAGAAGGCTGAGAGACCTGTTTACTGCTCACGACAGGAATAGCTAGGTGTTTTACGTGTGTAGGTTGGTTGCTCTGTGCATATGTACATGTGCTGGGAGCCTAGGGTTTCAGTGGTGCTTTGGCTTTCATTGAGAAAGAGGAAGGCATTAAAGTGATAAAATTAATGGCCCACTGGAGCCATCAACATGCTTTAGTATCTCAACTGAAAATCTTCTTGCCTGTTTAGAAGGAAGGAAAAACAATCAACTAAATGGGAAGTTTCAAAATGTGCACATAATTCACTGTTAGATGTGAAATCCTCCTTTCTAGAGAAACTTACCAGTGGTAAAATGAAACAGACAACTAAAGTGTTTCAATGAGCTGCTTCATTGAAAGTTAACTTTTTTTTTGGATTTGTGACTATTGTACAAACCACCATTATTTTACACAACATTGTATATGAAAACTCAGAAGTTCTGTAGGTTCGCTGGTGGTTTTGTAGACATCACAAACCTTGGATCATTATCATTGTAAAGAGTCAGTGAGTTTCTCTATGATGCACTATTTCATGCCAAACCACTTCAAGGATATCAAATCTGAAATGAAGAAACCCCCCAAAAAACAAAAACGTATTAACCCAACAACTAGTGTGGCTCATAAATCCATCTCCCTCTCTGCCACAGACTTTAAGGGTGTGCACATGTATATGCAACAGACATCTCAGAAACCTCAGAGAGCGCAAGTGCACGCTTGTGTTCAGGTGCCACGAAGGGCAGCTAATCTTCAGTCAGGTGCTTCCTCATAAGACCGCTCAGTGCCCCTGACACAGAAGCCGGGAAGTGGGCCAGTGGCCAGCGGATCAGAAACTGTGTCACCAACCAAACAGTGCTATGAGTGCGTCAAGAGAGTAACCACCCATGAAGTAGGGGCTTTCCTTTGCACTTTTCCTTCCATATACACTCTTATAACGTTACAGCTCCAAAGTGATGAAATCAGAAAGCTACTTCGGTGTAGGCCTGTCAGGAGTGGCTGATTAAACTCAGATACTCAATCAAAATAAACAAACAAACATATTTTTTTGATGAATCGGCAATGATGAATTGGAATCATGATAACGCATATTTTAAATTCTTCTACTGCTCTCGCTTACCGTAAGAAACAGATGGACACACCCATGTATATATAAAAGTCATTCTTTTTAAGCCACAGTGTTTTCATAAAAAGTTTTCCTAGTTTATCTTTTTCCAATAGCATAATTTTGTCTAGTTCAGTTAGGCCCATTTGTATTGTCATAGGCTTACGGCAGTAACTTATTTGTTGGGGTATTTTTTCCCAAATTGCTTTACTTTTTGAACCGGTACGTTGTGACTTTGTTCCCCTACACTAAAGCAAATGCAAAACGGGCTAATAAAATACCATAAGACCATATTGTGCAGACCAGTAAAAGTTATGGTGGCAGCATGATGTCATCTTTCACTTGGAAAAAAAAGACCAGAAATGCAAATGTCACACTGTCCGAGAGTTTGCGGCTGCTTAGCTTCCCCTGATGCCATCTTTTACAAAGCCATTTAGAGTGAGAATGTTTGAAATGGCCCATTTCGCTTGATGTGGAAAGATAAATGTTTTTCATCTTTTGTTTTTCCCAAGACCTTCAGTAGTTTTTTAATGTCTGAAACCTTTTGCTGTGGTCTGAGGACGCCATAAAACGTAACATAGGCAGCCTTTTGTACAGGCGTGATATCTTCCTGCCTCACAGAGCATGTTTAACTAGCGAAGCCCCATTTACACTACAGTCTTATCTATGCTAGGTACAATAATGTGGTATTAATGGAGGACACCACTTTACCCAAAATATTCAAAAGTTACGCTCAACTCTGGGAATACAAGCGTCTAGCTATGGCATGAAATAAAACAATAAATTAATGACTTTGTGAACATCACTGATAGGGGATGTACATTCTGAATAATTCTGATATTTGGGTACCCATAAGAGATAATGAACGGATGATCGGTTAACCATGGGGGGGGGGATGCAAAAAAGGGACCAAAATTAACTGTAGTGTTGCAAGCTCAACTTTTTAGGTGACAGCACTGGTGAAGCATGCAAAAGAATTTTTTTTTATTATTATTCAAAAATAGCCATGGGAAATCAGTAGGCTTTCGTGTTGGATGAGGTTGCTTCAGATGACCTAATGTAGTATGACCTAATGTAGTAAACTGTAGATGATGACTTTTTCATGTGCCAATATTAACTTGCCAGAGAAATATACTTTCATTGCTCCTGGACCGAGCTAACATCAGTGTAATGTAAAAGATACCCGAATAGTAGAAGAAGTATTCAAATACTGGCCTCTCAAACAGTTAACCCAGTACTCAAGCACCCAAGAACAATCCTAGTCACTGGGGACTGCTGCTGAAGTAACTCAGTTAGCTGTTACCAGGCACAATAATAATAATGCTGAGTAATCATCAAAATAATCGGTAGATTATTTGATTACTAATATAATCGACAGTGACAGCACTACGTCAGTGCTGTGAAAAAGGGTATCAAAGGACAGACTGGATAATTAAATTAAGCACCCAAGACCATTTATAAGACACTTTTATGGGTTAATGCTTCCCAGGAGCTGTTCTGTCACAGAGTCAATCCACAGACCAATTTGTTAAAGTCATTAGAACAAAGTGTCTTTCAGGGTACATTGAGATAACTTTTAAAAGGTCGTTATTAGTACTTGCATAAGAGTGGGACACACAAACACTCAAAACAGGCATTCCCACACAGCTTAGCCGCAATCATGAGGCTAACGCCAACTTCTCTGGCCATCTTACCAAAGTTGTGCATTCAGCAGACAAGCATTAAATGGCTTCTCTTGTGGATTAACACATTCCAAGCTGCTGCCAGAGCTGCTCTGAGTCTTAATGCAGACAGACAGATTCGGTAATAGTGCTCCAAACTGGGGCTAAAACACGAGTTCTGTTACCCAGGTTACATAACTCAGCGGGCGGGATTGGGTCAGTTGACGGATCTGCTGGCGTGGAATGCGGTGGAAAATACCCAGCTAAAGTAGACCTCTTTCTAAAGACCCCTCTTCACCTCCCCCACCCAACCCAGCAGGGGTCATATGAGTTCATTCACTATAATGATTCAGAAAAGTTTCAAAGCCCTTTAAATTGGTATAGAATCTGCCTATTCCAAAATAATAAACCCGGACCAGAAAGGTTCGGGGGTCCTTCCATTGCTCTAGGTATGACATCATTATTGTTCATTTTGAACATGTTTGAATATATTTCATTAAACTTACTGCACAAGTATTATAACACCAAAAATAGAATAATCTGAAGAAATCTGGCAATTGTGAAAAAAGGACCAAATTACTGTCAAAAAGAGACCTCTATCGACGCCTACGCTAAGCAGTGGAGTTACCGAAAATCTCTAAATGAATGTGTCTGAGTGGGCTCTGATGCTGATTTTGCGATCAAAGGCTTTGTTGTCATTTCACATGGGTCACATTACTTATGTGTATTCCAAAGAAAGACTCAGCAAGCTGCATCAGAGAACTGATCTAAAGCTGCAAAGCTTATGAAGAACTGTATGCGTGCACACACACACACACAAAGGTGACGCACACAAAGACACTGTTTTCTCATGTGAAACATTTTTCCACACTGTGATTCTATGATTCATTTACAGTCTGCCAAAGTATGCGCCAATGGCCCCTACCATACTCACAATCTCACCCAGTCCAGTGTCCATAAAAGGCACAGCTGCAAACAACACTGTACCATTCATGCACAAATTTGATCACACACAAATATGATATTACTCCAAAGACAAGGTCTAACCGTAAAGTGGTCAGAGGTGTTCACTAGTCATTTGCTCCCAAATGCTTTGCATTGTGCCAGGAGCTGTGCGAGGAGTCTTTTGAGTTGTGACAGTTTCAGTTTCATTTTTTTGCGGGCTAGTTTACCAGGTTCACTTATGAGCAACTTCTAAGAAAAAACTGTTTAAAGGTACAGTATACCTAGCACTGAGTAAGACTAGAAGGACTGAAGTTCAAGCTTGACGAGATGGCAATAGCTGACAATAAAATATGATCATTTTAAAGACCAAAAGGCTTTACTCCTTAAATAGTGATATTTTAGTTTTGGTTACCAGACCCGCCTGTTATCTTCACACGCTTCTTAAAATAAAGAAGATAGATCTAGATCTCCAAGAGCATGGTTTTAAATAAACTCTGCAGAAGCTTAAACTTCCAGGGGCGGCACTAAACTAAACTCTCCAAGAGGGTAGCTCTTCAGGAATAGGGTTGTAACTAAATGCTACAGGGCACTACATGTCCACGGGCAGCTTTGAAACTAAACTCTGACAAGACTGTACATCTCCAATAGCGGTATTGGAACTGCACTCCAGTGAAGGGTAGATTTTGAGGCCCGGGGTCAAAACTAAATACTGCAGGTTAGTAGATCTCCAGGAATATGGCTGGAATACTCCGTAAACAGTTGTAGAACATGATTAACAAGAGCAGATTTCCAAGAACAGGGCTGAAAGCCATCTCCTGGAGCAGACACGAGCATCTTTGATCAAAAAACACTTACCCTGATCATCTCTGCAACATAGCTCTCTGGTCCCGTGTACTCGGTAGAGTCCTTCACTTTAATGAGCACAATGAAGAAGAGGTAATGCCACATATTGTGCTCCACCTTGATGTGCTCCTCGAATGTCACAGTCTTGTTGTCAAACTTGTCTCTCTCCAAGCCTGCAAGTGCACATACAAAGTTTATAACCATTTTAGTTATTCAGGTTGGAACAACTAAGAACTTTCTTTATTTTGAAGACCTTCTTGACTAGACAAGAGGATATTTTTTGGACAATATGACATTGTGCAGTGTGACAGCAGGAACCAGTAGATTAGTCAATTGAATGTCAAAGTCCCTGTGGGTCAGGGGTCATCAAACCTATCCACAAAGGGCTAGTGTGGTGATAGGTTTTCACAGTCAAATCAGCACACCTAATTCCACTGGTTTAATCACTATTCCAGTGGTTGGTATAGCGTAGTGGGTAACACCTCTGCCTTCTTTGCTGTAGACTGGGGTTCAATCCCTCGCCTGGGGAAAGCACCCTACGCTATACCAATAAGAGTCCTTGGGCAAGACTTCTAACACTACCTTCGTCTACCTGTGTAAACTGATCAAATTGTAAGTCGCTCTAGATAAGAGCGTCTGCCAAACGCCATAAATGTAAATGTAATCATTTGGTCTCCATCTTCAGATAACTGACTGGTTATGAGCTGTGCTCCTGCTTGGCTGGAATGAAAACCTGGAGCCATTCCAGCTCCTTGTGGAGAAGATTGGCAGCCATAACCCCTGAAGCACATGAGCCTTAAAAAGCCCCAGTGAGGACCTTCCCAAAGAGCACCATAACCTCAGACCAGCTCACACTAATTAGTTTTTCGTCATTCGGTCGTTGTTAAATCTTTATACTGTCAGAAAACAGCCTTGCAGTTGCAGCGGTTGGGTTTAAATCATCCAAAGCAACATTAACCGTGAAGAATGAGTTAGGAAACGTTCTTCCAGTTTCAATATTCCTCTAGTTCCACTTTACTGTTTCATCACTGCGAGAGGAAGCAGTTTGTAAACAAACATAGCTGTCTGAGGATGTGTGTGTGTGTGTGTCATAAGTAAGTGGAGGCGATAGGTCTTGTGACAGTCACAATACAGAGTTTCTTTTTATGTAGAATGATGAATGCCCAGTGGAGCCAAGCCAATTGTGACTGAGGTTGACTCTACTGGATCTCTACTGGAGGACCTGCATTTGAAAAATCTGCTTCATATACAACGTTCTGCTGTTTAATGCAGGACGCAGTGTTTAAGTATTTGCCCTAATTAGCTTCAAGTAACACCTACAGGAAAAAAAGACAATGTGATCCCGAAAAAAACAGTAGTTTCAGTATAAGCACACATCCTACACATGATTCACACGTTTGAGCAAGTCATAAAACTCCCCTTCAGTGATGAACAGCGAATTGCCAAACAAAAGGCCTAAATTGGGTGTTCCATCATAGAAAGACTGTGTGAATTGTCTCTGTGTGTGTGTGTGTGTGTGTGTGTATGTGAGATGGTGTGTGAAGACTCCACCACAGTAGCAGCCATGACTAAGCCTTCTGGGAAGAGGGGGCGTCTCGATGTTTACAATGTTTGAGCGAAAACAGCTCGCACTGTGCCTGCTAACCGGGCAAGCGGTTTCTAAAGGTCTTCCGGATACGCAAAGCGTAGATGAAATCTACATTAAAAGGTACTCTAAGCAACACTGAAGCACCATTTTAATGTATTAATGGTCACGTTGCTGCTGGCTTGTCACAACAGAACAGGAAGTTGACCACAGGGGGAAGAAAACATTTTCCCAGTTCAAGGGCCTTCAATTGCCATTACTATGCATCATTCAAATGTACCACCCCTTAGGTAATGATGCTCCAAGAGCATTCTTGAGTTTTCAGTTACAACCTGGATGGAGCTACCATGACTCCCCCAGGAGTGCTTCGATTAGATTACTTTCAGTTTATGTCTTGTTGAACAGATTCTTCTGAAGCAGGGCCTGCTCAGAACAAGCACTCACACATACATGTATCTACTCACCACAGATGAAGCAAGTGGTCTTGAGTACCTCTTCTTTCTTTTGCTTTTCACTCCTCAGGTCAGCAAAGGTGTCAATGATGACACCAAAGATCAGATTGAGGACAATGATGATGACCATGAAGAAGAAGAGCAGGTCATAAATAACTCTGGCTGCAAAGAGAGGCTCCTGGAGAAGAGAAGAGAAGAGAAGAGAAGAGAAGAGAAGAGAAGACAAGAGAAGAGAAGAGAAGAGAAGAGAAGAGAAGTAAACAAGATAGAAGTGAAGAAAAGAGAAGTAAACATGAGAGAAGAGAAGAGGAGAAGAGAAGTAAACACAATAGAAGAGAAGTAAACATGATAGAAGAGAAGCAAACATGATAGAAGAGAAGAGAAGAGGAGAAGAGAAGTAAACACAATAGAAGAGAAGTAAACATGATAGAAGAGAAGAGAAGCAAACATGATAGAAGAGAAGAGAAGAGAAGTAAACATGAGAGAAGAGAAGAGAAGAGAAGAGAAGAGAAGAGAAGTCAATGGCTTTAATGACCAAACCTGTTCTTCTTTATTACATAATCTGCAGCCTTTCCACCTAAATCTCTAGTGACAGCAGTAGTGAGGCATAAGAGATCATTTCTGCGTGCAACATAATGGATTATTAACTAATGATAATGGCCCAGTTTTCCAGAAGCACTGTATTATTAAATTCATCTTAACGAATAGAGTGTTAGAAGTGCCCTTCACTGCCACATGATGACGATTTTTGGTTTGCAATGCTTATGGGAAGGGTGCGGTAGAGTGGTGTGTGGTTATAGAGATCTATTAGATAATATTTGCAACGGCAGTGGGTTTGTAAGGCAATCTTTGTGTGAGCACTGAGTTTCCTGGGAGTACAGTGAGGTACTGATTGCATGTACTATGTAAGTGTTTAACTTTTAATAGTCTTCTCCCAAACTGCTGCATCTGTAGCAGTCTTTTACCACACCTCTATGGTAATGACTAACTGTACCATACCTCTTTGCAGGGTTTGATTAGGTAATGATTGAGTCATTGAGATGAGTGATGTGTACTATACCTCTTTGGAATGTTTGATTAGGTAATGACTGAGTGTTTGGGATGAGTGAACTGTACAATATTTTTTGAAGGATTTGATTAGGTCATGACTGAGTGTTTGAGAAGATTGAACTGTACTGTACCTCTTTGGAGGGTTTAATTAGATAACGACAGAACAATGAATGAGTGATGTGTACAATATACGTGTTTGGAGGATGATTAGGTGGTTATTGAGTGTTTGGGATGAGTGAGTATGGGATGAGTACACATTCTGGGGAGACTGAGTAGATAATGATAAAGTTTTTGCTTTGCAGCAGTACCTCTTTAGATGGCTTTCGGAGCACGTCCCCGACTCCACCGCCACTTCGGAGACCGTGGCTAAGTACGGTCACAATGCACATGAGAAGAGAGTCACATGTCCGCTCCTTGTCCTCCACCACCATCGCGACTGCCACACATACACAAACAATATTTCCACATACATACTAATATATTCCTTGTTAAAAACAGATTCTTCAATCCTGTGAATCAAATTTTATATTTATTTATTTAGAAGCTATTGGACTACTCCTGGAGGTGCAATATTAAATGCAGGACTGTAAGAATAAACCTATCTAAACTTAAAAACACGTGGAGTCCATGTGGTCTGATGTGGTGCAGGTTCCATTGGATCAGACGCCTAATTATCTCCACTAATCACACTGAACCAGCCATACATCTTAAATTTTTTGCTCCTGAAAGCCTTCACTTGAACTGCTTGAAAATCTGAGACGCCGGCTTGACTTCTGAACCCAGGCTGGTGCAGATCCGATGACCTCTTGGTCATTAAACTTTGACCCTTAGTGTCCCGCGACCCCAGACCTTCTAAGGAGCAACGATGTGTTGCATCTCATCCCCCTTGTCTCATGACCAAGCAAGTGCCTCAGATTTAACACACGGGGAGAAACATGTGCGGGTGTGTGCGTACCGTCCGTTGTGGTCTCTGTCGAACAGTTCTCCCCACCACCTTCTTTCCGACAAACGCCCCCTGAGAGGAACTCACTCATCATAGTCGCCGATTCCTCTGTTTTCAAGGAAAACAGCCAACAATAAATGCACTTAATCAAGCCATATCAGTCTAACTGAAGCTATAAAAAAATCACATACTAATAGGTTGGATTTGGTAGCTAGTTTATAAATGACACAAATAAGAAAGATCAGGCTAACTGGTATCAAATGTCAAACAGTATTAATTGCTAGCAACATTTAAACGTCTGAATGAAGTATTCCTTTAAGCTTGTCAGATAAGGACTGTACTGGTGTTTCTGGTGGCAAAGTACTCCAGGCCTGCTACTGCCAAAATACCCTTTAATTGCTAGTTATTAACTGATAATGATTTGAATTTGCATAAAGCATTCCTTCAAGATTTCCACAGAAGGAATGGCAATGTGGTACCTGTTATCATTTTTCATATAACTATACTGATTTTTTGGAGGGCAGGGGACTAACCCCACCCTGTGGTTCTTACCAAGCGTTTTGTTGGGGATTCGGTCGACAGTCAGGATGAAGTCATCTTTGAAGAAGATGTAGCCGACTATGGAGAACAGATAGACGAGGATGAGGGCGAGCACAGCCGTCAGCACGATTGAGCGGCCATTTCTCGTGACGCTTTTTATCACATTCAACAGAGTCTCCTCCCGATAGATCAGATCGAAGAGCTGAACAGAGGATAGAAATCACTAAGAAGGAGAGACCAGCATGTGTGCATGTGTTTAATGGTAAAGAAGAACCATGCATGTTCGTGGTTTTTTTTCTGCGTCTTTTCGTACGTCTGTATGTGTGTGCATGTGAATATGTGTGTGTATGTTGGTAAGTAAGACAAATGTGAAAGTGTTAGCCTACGTGCACTTTAATATGCATTTCTGTATTGGTATATGCGTGGTCATGTTCTCGAGTGTCTGGATATATATTTGTATATGTCTGATTGTGGGCAAGTGTGTGTGTGTGTGTGCGCACGTGTGCCCACAGTATGTGACTCCCTCACCAGTAGGCTGTAGAAGAAAACATGTACGAAGACTCCTAGGATGCAGATGATGAGGTAGAGCAGATGATATAGAAACTCCACATCCATGATCATCGCCTTGTAGCCTCGCGTGAATGTTCCTCGATTCCCCACAAAACTCATCAGGAAGATCACCTTATTGCACACCTGAGACATTAACACACACAGACTGATTATAAATTGACAGCAGTATTAAACTTGCAAACCTCTTTAAGGACCTGCTTGACCATTTCAACTCCTTAAAGCCATATGTAATACACACTTTAACTCCTTACTCTCATAACTTAGTTTCATAGTAGTTACTGAGCACTTTATAGTAGTGAATAACAAACATTTGATTTAATATAATAAATGGCCACCAATGGAGTAATAAAAGCCTGCAACTTAAGACATTAAAGCTACCTCACAGAAAGTGTCCACACAAATTTTGAATGAATAAGTTGCCTGATATAGTTTTGAGATAAAGTTTTGGCCAAAAACCTAAACTTTAAATCCATTCATGGTGGAGAAGGAGGTACATGTAGGGTGTTCTAAGGCAAAATAGTACCCAGAGAAAACTTTATTTTTTCAAAGTACTGGTTCCTATTACAACTGTAAAGAGTCGGTATCTCTACAATTCTTTACGATTAACCATTTCACATTGAATAGCTCTAAATAACTTTATTTCTCAATTCTATATAAGTAAAAAATGGCTATTTACAACCAAATGTCCCAATGAGTACTATGAACTTTTGAACATCTACTATGAAACTAACATGTAATGCTGCTGAGACGAAATGCATACTAGCTTTTGTTCCGGGAAGAAACTGTCACTCGTTTGTGGAGGTCAAAGAGAGCTGACATGGTTCGACCGTGTTTGGACGGCTTGGCAAAGAAGCAGGGCAGTGTGTCACCAGCTGAGTAGACTTGTGTTTGTATTCATTGAATGTGTGATTGTGTGTATGCGTGTGAGTGTGTGTACAAGGTGTATAGGCTGCAGAGGAACACTGAAGACCCTTTCACCAGCCAAGTATGTTTTAGCAAAGGGGTGTTACAGCAGAGTGGAATGGCTCAGTGACGCACTCCACACCTCAGTTCAATACGGAGACGGCACAGAGAGAGCAAGGGTTACACAGATTCACACTGACTCAGTAAAGACACTTGATACACATACACACACACAGAGCCGTGTACCCCAGATACCACAGGGTTTACACACACCCATGCTCACGCATTTCTAAAAAGACACTAACTTGCATGCGCACCTTCATACAGACTAGTAGTGGGTCACATACCGGTTCATTCGGTATACCGGCTGAAATTCTTTTTAAGGTATTCGTTTTGTCACTACCGCTACACCGGTATGCAAATAAATGCAGATAACGTGACATACAAATAATGCTAAACATGCTGATTCCCTCACCTCTCCTGTAGTGAGTTGCAGCCAGAGGTAAGTCAGTCCAGTTTATTGTCAAAAAAGCAGATATCAGATTGTAATGAATTAATTAGTTAACAAGGGGAAAGGAGAGTGGACAAGCTAGTCTCTTGGGGTTAGCTGTTAGCCATTAGCCTAGGATGGAGACTAGCCAGGTTTCTGTGCGCACTGCCTACGGTGCTCCTCGCTGCTTCATGCGATGCTGTGGTCTCCACACCAAGGTCAAAAGGCCAATGTGTACGAAACTTTGCAGACGTCTTCTTTTGAGACCTCATATTATCATGTTATACAAAAAATGCCCATCTTCTGTGTTCTACAGGCTCCGTAATGGTGCACCGTGCTTGGACTTATAGATGGTCGCTAATCTCTCTCAGCAGTTACTACAGTTCACAGAAATGTTCTCCATCAGTTTCCGGTAATTTTCTTACAATGATAATTTACGCATAGATTTTTCAGAATTCTGACTTCCCAAAATCAAAAACTCACCAAATCTACATGATTCATGTGAATGGCATGTACATCTTTTAAAATTCCCCGAAAGGCAATGAATTTTCCTGTATGTGTTTGCACGATCATATCTGACAAGCATTCTTAGTCAGATTAATATCCAACCACTTGTGTGGTTAATGTGTATTAGTGCTTCTGAAAGTACTTTTTTTAGTATATTTTAACAATATCATGATAACACAAAAAAACAGGTTGGTCACTAATTTCACGTTAGGATATTTTCATTCTCTCACACCCCTATTACAAACACAAACACATACAAACACAAACACATACAAACACAAACACATGCAAACACTCACATTAAATGCCCCAAGCAGGAAGAGTGTGGGTTCGAGGCCGACGGAGAAGATGAGTCTGAGGATGGTGGAAGCGATGAGAGCTCGGATTCCATGAGGCTGCGGTAGCACAATCACTATGGCCAGAGACACCAGCATGGCCACCCATAACAATGCCGATAGGTGGGGTTCCAGTGTGCCTGAGAGAGACAGACATGTACATGCTTAAAAACTGCATGTGTATATTTAACTTCAACAAACCAATTCAACCACAAAATAAATAAATAAACACATTGTTGATTTGTCTGAATTTAAAATACACATAAAGGAATGCTCTAGTGTTTTCAACCTAGTCTCTATCTGCCCCATCTATGGCACATGGTTGATCACCACAGACAATAATGGCGCACTTGCTCATTGGCTTCTATTGTAAATGTCTTCTCAGACAACGCTTTTCAGTTCTTTTACTGTACTTTACATATCACTCTTTTAAACATTAACATTATTGACTGACAGTAATCAACCATAAGCTGCAGATGCCAGAGAATTTCTTTAATTTCAACATTGAATCAAATTAATCAAATACAAACCTGCTAAACAATCTTTCTGAATGTGATGCATTGTTCAGGCCAGATCTGGTTTTGTTTTGTTTTGATAATGCAAATGTTTTAATCCAAACACAAATGGTCACAATGATGCACTGTTTCTAAACTATCTGTCCCCACTCCTTTTCTTCTCTTCTTATTCCCAGACACACTAATCTGCTTTTACCCAAAGTGTGACTCAGCCGGTTGAATTCTGTTTATGGAAAATAAAACTGCAAAGAACATCACAAGACTAGACCTAAGTCTATCCCCAGTAATACAATAGACTTCACTGAGCGGGTGGACATGGACACGCGCGCGCACACACACACACACACACACACACACACACACACACACACACAGAGAAAGTGTGGAAGCCCAGCAGTAGCGGATTCACCTGTTGAACATGCTCTGGCACATTCTAACCTTGAGGAAAGGACAAGTTGATAAATAGAAAGGAAGGGAAAAAAGCCTGATTACATAACTCAGAAAGTGTGACACATTTGAATATTATTGCAGATCAGTGAGGCTTTAGTGGGAGTCTACCTGGCTTCCAAGCCCATCCCTGAACATATGCATGCATACACACTTAATCACTCCATGTGTGTGTGACGTAAAACCATATATGTGCATATATCATCACCATTACAACAAAATATGTATACAAAGTAATTCATTTTTCACAAGATATGAGGAGACTAGTTATAAAACAATCCACTTGCACAAGGAAGGAGAAAGTCAAAAGAAAATGAGTGGAAAAAAAACAGGTGTTTCCAAACCTGGTGCCGTACTATAGAAAATTTCTATTTCTTGTCCTAAGTTAAGATCTGACAGGTCAGGATAAGATTTTTCACAAATTTGAACTACAGAAGCACCTTATCTCATCTTCAACTGGGAATTTTGTTATCTTATGGCATCTTATCTCAAGTTAGGAAATCTCAACCTACTCAATCGTCAACAGTCGTGTCTATTACCAGGCCACTGACCATATATGCACAGCGGAAACATAATAATGTAATTTAGCTAGACAGCACTCTGGCTTTAGCAAGTAGTGCTAACAATGTTTCTCCTAATAAACAGCCGCACGTTCAACTCTGACTCCTCATTCTTCACTGCAATCACTGCATTAATTCATCTGACAAGTTTTCATTCACATTTACAAACAAAGGTAACAGGAGGGGATTTAGGAATCCATTTATGATTTTTTTTCTATTTGGATCTACTGTAATACTATTTTCTTCTCTGGAGTTAATGGATAAGATTACACACTGTTATTCTGTAACAGCTACTCTCCTAAATTCAGTCCTAACTGAATTTTGTGGTAACTAAACAGATAAGATGTTAGGATGTTTATGTATTATGATTGGGGAATAAAACGATATAGAGAAAATGGGACTCCTAACAACCACCTGCAAGACCTGGCAGACCATCAATACTGTCCCTATCAGATAAACAGCATTTAAAGCTTTCATAAAAATAAAATAAAAAAATAAAGCTCTACTCTTTCTTCTTATCTGAAAACATCCACAGGTCTTTCCACTGAAGCAGAAAATGGAACCAACCACAAGACTGAATGCTGAGGGTGTGGAAAAATGTGCTTTCAGATTTCTCTGAAAACTGAAAGCAAATCTTCTGAAAAGAATGAAAGCTGTAGTAAAGGCAAAGGATGCACACACTAAACACTGATAAAACGGATATTATTTTATAGTCGAGACTTCTGTGTAATATTCTGTTTTAAAGATGAATAACTTACTTAATGGCTATTTTGACTGAAATTAATGAGTAAATGAAGGATTGTCTTTGACTTTTGCACATTACTGTGTACATACATACACTTACGTACACACAACCGTATGTGAGAAAACGAGGTCAGTCGGATTTGCGGGATCTTCAAAAGAAGCATCACTTGAGCCTGTCTCCCTTCCTTTCTCTTTCTCTCTCCCTCTCTCGCTCCCTCCGCCCCTCTCTCCGTGCGAAGATCACATGACAGGTGCTCGTTACATAACGTGGGGCGCTAAAAATAGCACGGGCCGCTGAAAGATGCATGAGCGTCGGTCTGAGAGAGAAGGGGAGCAGCGCTCTAGCCCGCAGGGCCTGCAGCCAGCAGCGCCGCCAGAGCCGCACGTCACAGCTCCCTGCTTACATCCATTCATCTCTCCGAAACGTCCGCACACACACAGTCGCGCCTCACGGGGGTCAGGGGAGGATAGGTCCTGCTCTCCCTCACCCCCTGAATTTCAAAAGCTGCTGTGAGTCACCAAGTCTCCAAAGCACTTAACCTTAAAGTCTGCCTAACCACACACAGATCCCTATTAACTCCTTAAATTCGAAGGGTTTGTATGGGGGGTCCACACAGCCAGTCCTCACTCTCATAACCACAGAAGTTACAGATTCGTCTCCTAGTAATTGATGAATAAACGATGACCTAATAATAAGCCCTAAGATTAATAACAGAACATTAAGTCTTCAGTTTAAGGGGCTAATGGCACAGTGGAAAAGGAAATATTTGCAGGTTTTAATGTGTGTCTATTACAGTGAATATGTGTGAGAAAGACCGAGCGAGAGGACACATTGCATGGAATGCTTGGCCTTTTCATCACCTAAGTGCATATCATCAAGGTCAAAACACAACCTTGTATCTCTGAAATGGTAACCAAAAAAAAGGGCACTGTCCTTCTACAGTCCATTAAGTTCTAGAAAATGACCAGTAAGTGTGAGGTACAACTCCAACATCGTAAGTGATTAGCATAATGATGAGTTCCAAGGAAGTCTAAATTAGACTGAAATGCCCAACAGGTACTAGACACAGTTACTTTTCAGGGTAATTTAGTTCTCAGAACTTACCACTATATTAGGCAAACTTAGTACTTTAGAGTTTGTATTTCACACTTACTTGGTTAATACCTAGAATTTAGAGGACAGTAAAAGAAAGCATAACCAAAAATGTTCTTAACTGTTATTGTAATTTCACATAAATGATTACTTCTTGGGCCATCTTGAGCACACACACACACACACACACACACACGATAACATACGAGACAGCACACACTGACCTACATTTAGCACTTTACTCATGCATGATACTGGTGAGGGGAGGGGAGGAGAAAGGTATATGTATAAGTCAAGGAACAAGGAAGGGGAGTGAGTAGCTTGGAAGGAAATGTCAAAGGGGAGGTGCTGAGTACAGTGTGAAGGAGACTAAAACAGTATGAAGCAAAGTGGAGGAGTGAGGGCTGAGACTGGAAGGCCTTAAGTTTAGACAAGCCTTTGTGCTGTCTTCTCACACACTTGCTGGAATGGCTGGTAGCCCTTCATGTTTGCCCTTCACTCAAACACATTATGTTTGCTTTTTCCCCCAATGACAGGATGTGGGGTTATACATACATACTGTGCAAAAGTCTCAGGCACATAAGCAAATTGTTTAAAACTTTGTTTTAGCAGCGAGCGTGTTTTTGTCAATAATAAACACTTTTTAAATATTAAAATAAATTTAATTAAATCTAAAATACAGTAAAAGGTAACAAGAATTTCAATAAATGTTTTCAAAAAAAATGTTTGGTATCTTGTGAGCTAGTCAGAACTACATAGTTTGGTTCCTGTTTTTTCCTGAAATCACTACTTAAAGTATACATTTTATTTGTATGTGTTAGTTTTTTTTTCTGAATATTTACTGCTCAGAAAAGCAGCTTTTAAATATAATTTTCTCAGGTGCCTCAACTTTTTGGAAATGGTATGTTAGCTCAGTTTTCAGGACAAACAAAACACAGCACTGTGCACAATATAAAAAAAGTATTAAATATAATGCAACTGTAACCAAGATTATAACCAAGTTTATATGATGTCAGGTGTATTAGTGTAATATTTATTATTATTATTATTATTATTATTGAACTGTATCCAAGTACATAGAATCTGGAATGATGCTTCTTGAAGAAACGCCACATGGTTCTGCACTGGTAGAGAGTAAAAGAGGTAAGGAAAAAACGGAAAAGGAAAGGACACATAAAGGAAAATAAAGTGGAAAGTGGGAAGAGCATGCAGCTTTCTCATAACATCTCATAACGTCATTATCATGAACACAGAGCGATGTGGTTTTCATGCACAGCCAGCTGCAGCTGCAACAGTTAGCTGTTAAAAGGAAAAAAGAAAAAAGTGAGGAGAAAAATCCCTAAACTACCAAACAACCAACAGTGGGAGCTGAAAAAAACAAAGTTCAAACTGCCTTCCTGTCCAAGCTGCCAGCAGAACCTGAATGACGAGATGACAAAGACCCAGATAAATGAGTGCAATATATTACAGCTGAAGCCAGTTTATATGACGTTAAACATGTACTAGCCAGACATCATTTTAAAAAAAAGCACTTGGGGGGTGGGGGGGGGGTTTGTAATTTTCATTGCTGTGTTAACATCTGCTTTTCTCCTTCACGTTTCTCCCTCAGTGACCTGAGCTGAACCAGCGACTCGTAACTGTTGAGTTGCTCTTGGCTAAGTGAGGAACTTCGGCTACAGAAGCCACATGAAAGAAGCAATGCTGCCAAAAGGCTCAACTCTGCAGAGGCAGCGGTGAGGAAGCTCTAACAAAAGAGAAATCACCGCCTGACCCCGGCCTAA